CAGCAGGAACTGTTTAACCTACTTAAAAACAAAGAAAAAAAGCACCTTTTTTTATGTCACAGCAGATGAAGTAGATTTGAATCATGAAGTATTCAGTCTTAAACAGGCTGTAACTTGGGACTTCCCTTCTCTTTTTGTGAAGGATTGCGCTTTTGCAATAACTGATCCTGTCGTTCGGTCTGTAAGTTACAGGTGACAGTCACTTCTGATTCTTCCGTGAAGTAACAGATTATGTACATTGAATGGCCTAGCTGGTCATACTAACAAGTTATGTACAACAGAGTGATTGCTAGTTTATTCTGCTTGATGTGATGATTTTGCATCTCTAGTTTAGGCGTTTACTCCAGATATACTACCAGCCCTTCATCGATAAGTATTTCCTTGCATGTGTCCAACTATTCTGTGATCTCATTCTCATCTTAATGGATTAAATAGCTTTTTGTAAAGTATGCAAAGGTTTTATTTCTTGCACGTAGTTCAGTATTCCAGCCCTTGTTCTCCAAAGAACAGATATTAAAGTTTAATTGTTTGTGTGTTTTTGTTTTGTTTTGTTTTTTAATTTAGGAGACCTGCTTACATATTTAAAAATTGCTTGTATTAGTCTCTTATCGAGAAAAACGAAATGCGTAAAAGCATCAAGGATTGTAATTCAAAGTGTCTTAAAGATACCGTACTTAGTCAATATTTATTTCTCTAAGATGGCAATAGGATTTAGAAATTAAAAGGCTTATAATTGTGGGTTGAAACATGAGTATCTTTGTGACACAGAAGGTGAGGTTAAGATATTATTTCACTTCACAACAAGGAAGTGTCTGTGTATTTTGTGATTTGGCTTGCCTGGTGAGGTCACGTAGTGCGCTTACGTTCATGTTGTTCGTATGTGCCGATGCTTCCTCTGATTCACGTGCAGCACTGTGAGCTCAAAACGTTCTGGAATATGGTATTTAAAAGTGGAATCCTTTTGAGACCTGGCCTGTGGTACTGTGCAGGACAACTTAACTTCTGTACGTGGATTTTTAAAGACCTTTTTTAGCTCAATATATCATCAATATTTATTTCTGAGATCTAAGCAGGGAAACAATGAGCTGCTAACAGACACCAACCGTTTTGTTAGATTGCTAAATAGATGGTTGTGTTAAGTTAAACAGCATTGATAACTCTCATCTGCAGGTCGAATGGGCACTGGGGATGTATGCAAAACTGTAGTTTGCTTTCTGATCATGTCTTAGGATCATTCTCTCACAAACTTGACCCACTTGGAGGACCCAGAAAATGCGATAACCAATAAAAGAACTGTTCTGTGATATTTAGGAGTTGACTGGACTGTATATGTGCGTTCATAGCACTAGATTAGTGGGAGATGTTGGTGAGGGACAGTCCACTAGAGGCCTGAAGTAATTTGGCTTTCATGTCCCTATTCTGTTAACTTGATCTGACTGTTACCACTGTACATTTGATGCTTTTATTCTAGGTTACCATTTGTAATGTGTTTTGCCATCATTCATAAAATCAGACCCAGGAAGCACAGATGCACCTAACAGTGCTAAGGATTTTATGGTAGTGTTGTAACGTGTGTTTAGAAAGCTGTCAGCAAGGTGATATTTGCTCCTTGCAATCATTTTAGATATTGTACACAATAATACTATGTGTATGAGTATAGCCAACTGTTTCATAATAGCTACAAAATATTTACAAAGGCATTCACTAATAGCATGAAGCGAAGGTAATAGACTCCTGAGCAGCCTGGAAACCAAACATGAGCTGTTTGACTGCTGCTTTTCTCTGCTCTCTTGAGTATGTGGAGTCTCTGATGGTTTTAAGGCTGTGTCATCTGCTGTGTAGAGGATTGGAAAAATTAGTATGGAACATGGGTGGTCTGAGGCATTCTTGTCCATGCACCAGTTGAGAGAGACACTTGATGAAATGAGGAATCAGTCTGTTTTGTACCAGCTGGATATTAAATAATACTTGGAATTGGTTTGATTCTTTTTCAAAATAGGCTTTTTTTAAAAAAATGAACAGACAACGAAATTCAAATGCAAACCTGTGTATATTGTCCTAGTCTTGTTATAATTCTTCTGAAAGAGGGAATTTATTAGGTCAGAGTTGTATAAACTGAGTTAAGAATGCTTGCCTTTTATTAATATATAAAATAGTCTTCAAATTTTTTGCCACACGTGTCAAGCTTTTTAAATTGGAATTATTATCAGTTTTGTTAGCATGTAAAAATAGTCCTTTTTTCCAAATCAGGTTTTCTACAGTAAAATAAAATCCTTTGACTGATCTTACAAGAACCTTCAGTAGACTTTGTCTTTTCCCTGACCCTCATTACGCAACTGCACATTGTTAAATATATCGCAGCAGTTCCTGCTGTACGTTCATGTCCTGATGCTCAATACCCTCAGTGATACAGCAGAGTGGCAGTCTTACCAGCTGTATGAAAACCTTTGCCGATCAAGACACATAATGTCAGTGTAACCAGCTCATACCTAACAACAGAGCATGCATAAGTAAATTAAAAAAAAACCCTGGGGTGGAGTAGTGTCTAATGAATAACCTGTTTATTTTGTGAATGTGTTCATTACTTCAGGCAAACGATGCATAGAGTGAGACATTTGAGCTTAAAATGTTCATTTATGTCAGAAAGGAGGAAAGGTGTGTTACAAAGGAGAAAGTTAGAATGGTTAAATACATATATAACAAGTGAATTATATTTTCCTGTATGTGAGATAGTGTGGTAAATTCTTCAAGGCACTCAAATATCAGTATTCCCTGCTGGGATTCTTTGCCTCTGTGGGTTGAATGGGGAGACTATCCAGACTGTTTGCTCTGTGTAGATAGTTACCACTGAGTAAACAACTTGAGGGTGGGAGGGGGTTGTTTTGAGTAATGGAATTGAATAATTTAATGTGACACAAGTTATCTCTGCTTGTTGAGAAGACTTTTAAAGTTACTAATTCAGTTTCTTATTACACTCAAATAAATCATTGACGCAGCTATACTGTTGGGAGGGGAATATACAAGAATGTCCTTAGTTCAGATCATTGTGTCTGGAACTGAAGTCTGGTACTTGTCATAGTTTGTCATTGTCTTAAGGATATTTGCAGTCTGTGATTGTGAGAGATTTATAAGACCTGTGCTGGCACTTCAGACTTCTTGATGTAGCTGCACTCTTTCAGGTGTGCTTGAGGACTGATCTCTCTTTGTATTGAGATTACATAGTCATGGGTAATCTTACAGTGACAGAGACATGGGCTTCAGAACAAAATGGAATCAAGTATTGATGTGCATGTTAATTAGGCACTGAACTTCTGAATTTCCAAGTTATTTTTTAGTGATTTTCTTTTTTTAGAAGAAGTGCTGAAAACAATAAGTGAATCAACTTGTTCTTTCAGAAGAGAGCAAATAGGTGTGTTGGAATTGGTCATTAGAAGTTACAACACTGTTTTCGTTTTGCCTACAAACTGAAGTCTCGAAAGTTCTACAGAGTTAAATAACAAACTAAACCAGCATTAAGATAGGAGCAGAAAAAAGTAGAGATTTTTTTATTAGAAGGGCAGAGGTTGTTCCAAATAGCAGGCATCACAGAAACCAGCTGCTTCGCTTAACTTTATTACTGTGAACTCACCTTGTCTCAGATCAATGTGAGTCAATATGCAAAAAGTAGGCCGAATAAATTCAGGTGGTCATAGTATGATTTGCTGGGTTTCAGGGATGGGGCTGTATCTCATTGCATTTACCCTTTGCTTTTCCACTGGCCTTAGAATATTCAGTCTGAGTTTGAAATTGTTTTCTTGACTTCTGTGTGGCTTCTTATTTTAGGGAAATCTTAACTGCTTTATGTAGACTTGTCCATCCGTTAAAGTATAGGCATCAGTAACGTGCTCATAATATACTCTGGTAAAAATACCTGAAGTTCTTTAATTTAAACCACAGGAGGTCTGAATGGGAGTGGTTTTGTATATAAGCTTCCTGCTACTTCTGAAGGCAACAGTGTAACTCCAAAAAAGGCCAAGCCTAATGAGGTTGGTGCTGGAAGCAGTTCAGCTGTTTCACCTACAGTTAACTCTCCAACAGTAACACCGTCACGAAATGTATCTTCAAAAGGCAGGGTAGATCAAATGGCCTAGCTGTCAATCCATAAATCTGTCTCATGGAAAAAGCTAGAACTGTTGTAATGTTTAAGTTGATTGGTATTATCAATGCTATTAAGGCAACGTAAATAAGTAAACTTTGTTCTTATGCCTTAAAATAAGAAAAACTTTTCTATGCAAGGATTTATGTACCTTTACAAATTAATACACCCTAGGTTATTACCTATTCAAATTTTAGACCTTTATTGTTTACTAGGTATGTTTGAATTCTGTAAAGCAATGATTAGTTAAATTGTGTAGTGGCTGTGAAGACAGATGATGGAAATAAATGCCCCGACCTCATATTCAATTTTCCTCCACCCTGTGTTGGGTAAAACAGATGTTGTGCTGGAGCCTCTGATATGCAAAAGATAACCGGAGGATCTTCCTAAATGCAGTAACAAAGGAGTAGATCATATTCACTGAGAACCTTATTTTTATGACTTTGTCTCTAAGCTGTCCCATGCTAGCATACTGATTTCTAATCTGTCGCAGAATCCAGTGCTGAAACATTGCAGAACACCAGATATTCCTGCAGAAACTGTTTTCTTCTAGCTCAGCTTGCACTTTGCTGTGATGTGTCAAAATGTTTTACAAACAGTAATAGTGAGGACTTGCAGAACTGTTTTGCGGTATGTCTCTTGCATGGCCATCCACTCATGTGAAGGACTTTCTGCTTAATTATGATGCTTAGCAATACTGCTGTCTTCAAGGAAAAATACTGTTTGATCTGTATCTACCTCATGGACTACGCAAGACTATTTTTGTGAAAAAATATGTAATGCTGTTGCATGATCATCTGAACTCACACACTTTCTCATTCCCTTGTTATAGGTGGATGTATTTGTGTGCTTATTTTCAGTACATTTTTTCGTAGCCCTGGCAGGATATAGTTGACTCTATAGTTACTTAAAACAAGAGGAGCTATGTTTAACCTCTTCTTCTAAACTACTTACTCAGCGTGGAGTCCTCCAGATCTGTGAATGACTTAAGAATGCAAGAGAACTTCATCTGGAAAAGTACCTGTCGCCCTAATGTCTTTTGGCAGTTTGGAGAAAACTGGAAGCCTGAGTTTGTTCATTAAAGTTCAAGCTAATGCAAAGCTTTCTTGTATTTGTTCAAAAGGTTGTAATCGTTTTATGTCAATAACAGAAATAGTATTTCCTTTCATTACTGGGAGTAATTATTTCAAAGATCTATTCTCCAGGTTCTCCAAAGACACCTTTGCTCAACAGAAATGATGCATCTGAGTAGGCCTAGGTTCTAACAACTGTCCAGGGAGAAATATTCTCATCAGTCAGAACCAGATGGTGAAATTTCTTTCCAAAACCAGTTATCTGAATCCTATTGTGATGATAATCAGGTCATGGCATAAAACAAGTTTTATGTGTTGATTTGGGAATTAAAGTTCTTCAAACAAAAACATCAGAAGTCTCCCATCTGGTGGGTGAGGTGCAATAGTTTTCATTGGAAATAGCATATTTTGCTAGAATAATAAATAATAATAATAATAGAGTATTCTGCTTGTGAATTCTAGATCTTAACGTATTTTAAATTTTACAGGTACAAATGCTGCATCAAGCACCATTAAAAATGGAGGACCTTTTCCACGAGCTTGTCCAAAGTGCAATATTCATTTCAATCTTATGGATCCTTTAAAAAATCATATGAAGGTAAAATATTGTGGGGCTGGTAAACATTATAACAAACTTACGTGGGCTTCTGTTTAGTTATGAGTGCCATGTTTTGATATGAAGGGAGTGTGACTTCTGGCTATGATCAACCAGAGTCCAAATACTCAAGTCTTACAGTCATGGAGAGGAAGAATAGAGTAGGGGAGCTCTGAATCTTGCCACTTTTTGCCTTATTTTTCAATGAATTGAGGCATATTTGCTGTCTCTGTATGATTTCTCTCTGCTACAGCTGTGACTTCTTGAACTATTGGTTAGATTCAGGTGAATTAGATGAAGGTAAGTGCTGATGATAATAGAAAGGCTGTTTATCCACATCTTTGTTAAATCACTAGTGAGACAGATGACTGTAAAATTACCCTTTTATCTTGATATATCACTTGGTAGCTAAAAAAGTTGAGGAGAAAAACTTGTGTAGTTCATACTTAAACATTGTGAGAAACTGAGCTTTCAGAAACTAACCATTGTTTAGTCTATTTATGAATCTACTCGTCATTGTTTCTGGAAATACTGTTTCCTGGAAAATATTTTTTATTATTAGACAAAGATTCATGCAATTCTCAGGCATATGTATTCCGTTTCAGGGGATGGAGAAATGGCTTTACACTCTATGTACAATGTGAATAATCCATGCAAAAATAATATGAACTACTGTGTAATAGAAATCTGTGAGGCTCTGAGTTACTGTTAACACAGCTCAGTCTGATTTACCCTTAAATACCCTAAATGATAGCTACTGTCCTCTTCAGAACACAATTAAGAAACATATGTAACAGTGGGGAAAAAAATCAAGGCTTTTATCTTTCTCTAATTATCATTTGTAGAGAATAGCTTTTGCACCGAGTACATCAACTGAGTGAAAGAGCCATTGAAGAAGTGGGTTTACTCAGTATTATTTAATTAAATTTTTAGTTGAACTATATGAGATAAATATACTGAGTTCCACTCCCACAGTGGGTAATGAATTCCTTACGAGTAGGCTTGTAGAAAGTAGTCCTGCACAGTAAGAACCATTATTCAGCAGTGGAAAGATCTGTCCTCTGACACATGATAATTTTGTTCACTGTTGAAAACTTCATAGCATCTTCTGTATTAAATACTTCGTACTTTTAAGTGTTAAGTTTCATATTATAGCTATTGAGTTAAGCATTCGTTAATGTACACTTTGACATAAAGGAGCTTGAACAATGTGTGTTGTGTGAATTAGATTTTCTGAACTTTTCAGTAATGCGGGAAAGAACTTTCACAGGTTTCAACATATGTCCTCCCAAAAGAAACAAAAGATAAAACTTTCCATTGAGTTCTCAGTAAAATTATGCTTGTCAGCATAAAAGCTACTTTTCTTTTTCTCATTCTGAAGTTTAAATGAAGTAGAGATTTTTCTAATGAGTAAGGCAACACTGGTATTCTGATTTCCAGCTTAAATTTATTTTACATGAACCTATGAGAATAATCTCTTTTCAGCCTTAATAATATATAGTGGTTTATTACCTAAACACTACTTAAAGATTGTTTGCTGTTCAGAATCCATATGTGACTATGAATATAGTTGGTGTACTAGAGAATTGAACTTTGCATCTAACTCTGGTGAGTGGCTTCAGTTTTTAAAATGCTGTCATCATTGATGCAGTTTGGTAAGAGAGACTGATACCTTTGTCTTTATCTGTCTCTTCTCCTCTCCCTTTCATTCCAGTATTGTTGTCCAGATATGGTAAATGACTTTTTCCTGGGAGTGGCCAAAACGGAGTGTACAAACACAACAACCAAGACTGCTGAATCTGAGAAGGGAAAATTGATTATGTTAGTTAACGACTTCTATTATGGGAAACATGAAGGTGACACCCAGCAGGTACAACAGGAACAGAAGACTCATACGACGTTCAAGTGCTTCAGTTGTCTGAAAGTTCTTAAAAATAACATAAGGTATTTGAACTCTCTTCGTTAATTGTTTGTTAATGACTTACAGCCCATAGCACTTAGTCTCATGTATTAAAAATTTGTCTCTCTGGAACAGAAATTTTTTTCTAACTGAAAACTAATAATATTGGGTGACCGAACAGAATTAATTAATTTTTTCTATGCATGTATGGCCATAACTTAAACTTTTTACAGATTAGAGTACAAATTTTAATGATGTAGTGTTTTAATGAGAGTACTTGTAGGACTCTGGGGTTAGAAAGGGCAACAGAAAGTGTTTTATAATTTGCCATCTGGATTGATGGTGGTATCAGTAGTTGTAAGTGTTAATTCCCTTTAGAGATGCACAATGACTAGTAGTTGGTGCTTTACGTATGTAACATCTGTTATTTTGTTGGAATAATTTTACTTCCAAATGCTAAAAAAAAACTTCAGCAAGCTCTTAATAGGTAGACTGGTTCGTGTCATTGCTCCTTTGAAAGTTAAGGTCGTTGAACTTTTTTGCATGCATTCTTCAAGGGAAGCTGAAGTAGCAGAATGTAAAATTGAAAAATGGACTATTCCTTCAAAGGCCACAGTCTGCTGGTTAAAATGAACAGGTTTATGGTAACATTAGACCCATATTATGAAGAAAACAAAACTTTCACATAATTACTAACATTAAATTGGCTATTAATCATTGAGTATGTGTAAATCCTAAGTAAAAGTGCCAGTAATTTGTCTTAAGCAGCTTAAAAATGTTGTATGTTGTTAGATTTCAAAAGCCTCCCATTATTTTATAGTTTCTGTTAATTATGGCGCTTCTTCCCTTGCAATGTATCTTTTTAAGAGCAATAAACAATGTTTGATATGGGTTGAGGGGTTTTTCTTCTGTTTTTGTGTTCATAATACTTTTCAAATAAGCCTTTCTTGCAGTATCATGAAAAGTAGTCCACAGAAATAATACTTTATTAAGGTGCTGGGTTCATTTTAAAATACATTTTTCAGGCACTGTTTTCTGTTCAGCGTTATATTGTAAGCTATTGCTGCTACGGTGCCTGTGCGTTCCACAGCAAGTCATTAAAAGTGAGCACTTAATTTTTTTCTCCAAATTTCTCTGCAGTCGACTTTCAGCCACATTAATTTTTTGCCAAAACTTTGTAGCTGTATTTCCATGGTTGTATAACTTCAGAGTTTTTGTTCCAAGGTGTATTTTACACCTTTAACCATTTATAGTGGACAAAATAAATACTTATTACCTCTCTACTTGTAGTGGAAGCTTTCTGGACCTTAATTCAGAAAAGCACAGGGATTCATCAGCGTAATCCCCTGCTTCCTTTAAAAGATCTATGGTTGAATACACTGAAATAACGTTTCGTTAAGGTTATATGCAGTACTAGTGCCAGTTCCTTTCTTCTGCTTAGGTACGTGGATATCTTCAGTTAGTTTTTTTCTTTTCTCTTTTTAAGCAACTGCATGATATTAGAAGCTTGAGCTCAGGAGACTATTCTTGCTCATTTGTTTTTTCCAATTCCAAGGTCACCACTTAGAGAACTGCAATCCTTTTGTGAGCGTGACCTACATTTAATAGTTCCTCTGGCTGTACTGAAATGAAGCACATTGAAAATAGAACAGTTTTTGAAGTTTAACAGTAGTGGGTTGTGCAACTAACCTGACCTTGTGCTGCTCCACCAATAACTGTGACCTGTGTCCTGAGTGCCAAGACTTCTCAGCCAGAATAGATTCCTACTGCAGATCAGTGGACATATTAATGAGGAAATGGTGGTAACCTGAAGTAGTAACATACCACCAAGCTTCTCATACTCTTGTGATTGTCAGCTGCACAGTGTCAATCTTCGATAACTGTCCTTCATAATTCAACTTCACTCCTAAATGCTTTATACAAAGAAAGCTCATGGAACCCTTCCAGTTTTGAACAGGGGCAGTTTCAGGAAAAGATATAATGTCATAATTGCAGATATGTTCTTTCTACTTAATAATTTTCAGTGTAGCTAAAGTTATACTTTGAGATCGGTGGTGGTGAAGCGTGAGCAGCTGACATGTTTTGTTGTTGTTGTCTTTTCTAATTTCCCTTTCTAGGCAAGAATTTTGTCTAAGCAAACATGAAAAATGCAATAAATTGCTTAGTCTTAGAACAAATTTTGGATATGTTGCAAGTTCCTTATAATAATCAAGATTTCTGTTTAAGCTTTGAAAGATTATTTATGTTGTAGTCAGCTTGCTAACTTTGTTGCCTTTTTATTTGTTTGGGTTTTTTTGAATGAACACTTACTCCATAGATGATTTGGTTTTTGAAACTGAGAAGTCCTTACGGAGTGAAGTTTCTAAAGAATCTTATACGTCTTGCATGTGATATGTCATGTATAGCAAATGTTAAAATGTAGGTTTTTGCACCTGTTTACTATCATTTAAAGGTTTATGAACCACATGAAACATCACTTGGAGCTTGAAAAGCAGAGCAGTGAAAGTTGGGAAAGCCACACCACCTGCCAGCACTGTTACCGTCAGTTTCCCACCCCATTCCAGCTGCAGTGCCACATTGAAAGTACACACACACCTTACGAATCATCTAGTAAGTTGGAATATATTACGCTGAATCTTTTTGTGACCTAAAATTTTTAGATATTTTCTGACTTTCACTCAGCTGGTTTGTAACTTCAGAATAAAGCTATTGTACTTTAAAAGTAATAATCTTGAGATTTAATATAGGAGTTGAGCGCTCATTCAATTTATGTTAGAGCAATGTGTGTAGGAAGAAAAAAATTAAAAAGCTTTTTGTTTTCGTTTTTTTTAATGAAAGCTTGACTGCAAGAATTCATGTTGTTTAAAGGTCTTGCAATCCTAGCTTCCTGAAATTTTAGAGGACTTCTGAAGATTAGAAGAATCATTAGATTGCTTTACCTTTATAGATTTTCAGAGTTCACATATACATACGTGTGTATAATTTATCTACTTATTAAACAAATTCTTACTTTTGTTCCTGTTTTTGACTTTTTCTAGCAATTTGTAAAATCTGCGAATTATCCTTTGAAACAGAACAAGTTCTTTTGCAACATATGAAGGACAATCATAAGCCAGGTGAAATGCCGTATGTTTGCCAGGTATCTCAGAGTGACTGTTTTGTAGTTAGATTACACCCCTTCCCCATCTTATTGTCAAACTTTTAACAGGAAAGTCAAACTTTTTGTTCTAGGTATGCAACTACAGATCCTCGGCTTTTTCAGATGTAGAAACGCATTTTAGAACAGTTCATGAAAATACAAAACACTTGCTATGCCCGTTTTGCCTCAAAGTAATTAAAATTGGAGCACCATATATGCATCATTACATGAGGCATCAGGTAAGCAGGTATTTTCAATCCTTAATGCTAGAAAAATGCCAAATATATATTATTAAACCCTCTAAAAAAAAGCATAAATTATTTGTATGGTTGTTACTGGATAAGAATAGTTAATAAAATATGGTAGAAGAATTATGACTGCATCTTTTAAAAAGTTCTTTAATGGATGTGTTAGAATTTTAGGTTTTTGTGTGACAGCAGCTCCCTTTAAAAAAAAAAATACACTCTCAAGGATATTAGGAGATTTATCTCTGTTATTTAGTTTCTTCATTAAATTGTAGTGATGTGTTCTGCTTTTCTTGAGGTTACTTAGTAAAACTTTCACTAGTTCAAGTAGAGAAAAAGATTATGTAGTACTTTGTCATCTTGTAACTGGTAACCTGATTCCTCCTCCTCCTCTTAGTAATGATACTGCCTTGCATTTTCAAGTATTTAAATATTCTCTCTTTAATTCCTACAGTATCTTGGCTTTGTACAATATTAGGAGTTTGTCTGATTGATGTTTTAGAAACTGAATGACCATTGCTTGAGACAACTAGGGTTGGAGTTTTGTTTATCATTACATTCGTGCTTACTATAGATTGTCTTCCATTTTTAAAAGAAAAAAGGAATATACCGTTGCACTAAGTGCAGACTGCAATTTTTGACATGCAAAGAAAAAATGGATCACAAGACTCAGCATCACCGAACGTTTAGGAAACCCAAACAGTTAGAAGGATTGCCTCCTGGAACAAAGGTAAGTGTTCATACAGGAAATTTAGAGGGGACAAAGAATAGAAAACGTATTGGTACAGAAAGGGATGGACTAAAAAGAAGTGCTTGTCTCCTTTCCAAAGCAAAGATTTAAAAAAAAAAAATATTTTTTTTTTTACCCCCCACCTCTAAAACTGAAACTCTGAAAAATACTCCTGTTGCAAGATGCGGTTTACAATTTCCTACTGGTGATCCCATGGTGTTGCTCTCTGTCCCATTCTTCTACACGTATATATGCCAGTAGTCCAGTCAGTGCTACTGCTTTCTTGAGCTGTTGGTTAATTTGCCCTCTCCCATTTATCCTTTCTTGTGCTAGGAGAAAGAGTCTGGATGTAGGTCTGAGGAGTCTGCATTGTTTCTTGTGAAAGATTTTTCAACATATGGAAGGTGGTGGCAAAAAATCAAACAGTGCAAGACCTACTTCTCCTTAGACAATATGTGGTTAGAACTGAGTTCACCAGCTCTTTTTTTAGCTCCAGCATTTAAGGGGGGGGAAAAATCCCCCACAATTTTCTGCCAAGCACTTTATGAAGTAAACTTGAGTGCCCTCAGAACACTTAGACTATTTTAAAATCATTCTTCCATTTCTTGAGAAGGAACCACTTAGACTAGGATTTTCCTGTAGATTTCAGAACTTTTCCCTACAGTTTTTTGATGAAATGTGAAGATACATGTCCTTTCAGTTGAAAGGAAGATGAAAATTATCATTTTAATTAGCTCTTCACAGTGAATTTGCTGTAGAATCAGAAGGGGAAAATGACTGAAGTTGATGTTGATTTTGTTGCTTGGCAGAATGTAAAGCACTGATTCTCTCTTCTGTAACAATATCTCAGTTTTCTGAAGATTTGAGGATCATCATGATACAATAAAAGCTTAGATTATGTTAAAATTTTGGTGTTAGTAGACCTTAACAGAATGTAGATGATGAGACTGAAGAACTTGAAACCAGGTTTAGAAGATGAGGTGGTTCTAAACTACGAGTATGGGCAAGAAGTATAATAAGGAGTCATGCTGTGAGTGAAAACTGGAGAATCAAATTTAAGGGCAAGACAAGGGAGCACAATAATGTGAGATCAGAGGTCAGAAACCAGAATTAGTCCTTAAAGGTCTAGGATGAGGAGCAAAAATATCTGAAGGAAGTAAATTGGCTGATCATGAGGCAACAAGACACAAGGCTTGTGTTAAATCCAGGTGCTGATGGGACTGTTTAATATTCTTCTTTTTAGGGCTAATTGGCCTGACCTTTCTGTTTCTTTTCCACAGCTATGTTTTTTTGTTTTAAGAAAGTAGGATGTAGCTAGTTGCAGGTCTGAAAAGAGAGCAGTGTGTTTTGTCATGGCTATTTCCACCAAAACAAAGAGCTTTTTAAGCATCCAGTAAACTGTTGAGGTTAGGTTTACTCTAGTCAACAGTATTTCATGTTTTTCAAAACAGTCTTTACTGAGGAGTGTTTCTCATGCTATGATTTTTGTCCTAAAGTGGTTTAAACTTTGAGACAAATAGAAGCGAGAACTTGAAAAGCTTAAATCTAAATAATTTTAATTTCATACTTGTAGGTAACTATTCGAGCGTCTATTGGATCTCTTCAGTCAGGGTCATCAGCTACATCTTCTGTTAGTACAAGCACATCCATGTTCCAGTTATCACCTAAAGCTAAAAATACAACCACTAGAAATCATAACAAATCTAGTACAAATAAGTCCAGAGCAAGATCAAAACCAACCACATCGAAGAAGCAAAATGCATGGGCCAACAGCAAAAAAAAAAAAGAAGCTACAAATGCAGCATTGCATAATCTAAGGTAAAACATTAGCATTAAAAATATCTTGAAGTATACTTTGAATATAAATAACGGATCATTTAATTGTCTTTCAATAACTTCTAATACTGCAATACAGAACGTTTGACACTTCAGTTTTGCAGAAAAAGCAGGTGCATGAGCTTTCCACGTACTGGTACTGCCATTATGATTCTGAATCTTCATTCACCAATTTTGGTGGTGGTAGACTACTTTATGATGGAAGAACAGATGTTCTGGAAACTTTGTTCTAAATTTAGAATTTTTGTCTACACAGAGCTGCAGACTCTTGAAATACTGACTCATTAGGCAGATTTATGTTTAAAATTGACCAGTGGAGAGGAATACATCTGCATGGGTGTTCTTTGCAAGTTTTCTTATGAAGGGAAAAGTGTTTTCCTCCTTCATTTTTTAAGGGTTTTATTTGAACCTGTTATTTAAAAGGTTAAGTCATGCCTGTCCTAGGAGATACCTTAATTTGAGGAGCTACCAAAAGAAAAAAAAAAATCAAGAAAGTAAAAGCAAGCTGTTGGGAGAATGCTGTCCTTATATTTACAATTTACTTGGTTTTGCTGTCCTTATACTAATAATTCAGTGGGTGTTTATAGATTACAATATAATTTCATGGGCTAACATAATGAGTTAGCAATTTTCTTTACCAAAGATTGTAGATATCTGCCTTCCAATAAGGTCCTAACACTCACTGTGTGCAGCTCTCTGAGACATCCAAAAATGGCCAGCAAAACTGGGGAGGAGCGGGATTAGATTCTTGCTTTGTAGATATTTCAGACCTTGTGGGGAATATCAGGGGTGACAGGAAATCCAGAGGCAGCTTCTGTGGATCATGGTGGATGAAGCATTTTGAAATTCTTCCCAAGTATATAGAGACGGGAGCAGCAGCTGAAGTTGGAGGTTCTCATCTACTGCAGTATTTTGTTTCCAGGAGTGACAAATAACAAATGTTTACATTAACTCTCACTTTTTTATTAGGATGATAATGACAGTATAATTCAAGAAAAAAGAGTTTTTTCTTCGTGTGCTGCCATAATGTATAATAACTCTTTAACTGATACATTTTTAAGTTCCTCATTACCTAATGTAGGCAAACTTGCTACTGACTTAAAGCAAAAAAGTTTGAAATCATTATCTCGCCTTAAAATGTTGATACTAACTATTAGCTTTTTCTTATTACTGTTAGGTATCGTTTGGGAGCTCATAAATGCATTGAGTGCTACTCAGAAATAAAAGATTTTGCAAGCCATTTTCCTGCTTATGTCCACTGTAGCTTATGCAGATACAACACTAGCTGTAGCAAAGCCTATGTGAATCACATGATGAGGTAAGAACTCTTCAAAATTTTTGGTGAGTTATCAGATAACTTCCTAAATTCATATAAGGTGTGTTAAGTGTTTCTATTAGCTGAATTTTGAACTGGGTCGTAGGACTAGCAGGGAGACGTAAGGTTGGATTTTTGCTTTGTAATGAGGACCTAAGCCCCATGTTCTTCTTTCTCCTTAAAAATCCAGTGGTTCAGGCAGTGTTCTGTCTTTGCTTCAGAGTTTCTATGGGATCTTTCATAATTGTTTCAGCTGGATTTAACAAATAATGACTAGTTGTTGCGTGTTCTCTGGGTTTCAGATTGAATACCTCATCTGATTTTACAAGTGCTGAATACATACACCCACAGCTATTGCTAAAGAAATCTGTGCTCAGAATACCATTTAAAGGATGTCTCAAATAGCATACTGGAGTGAATACTTTTTCTTATACCACTTCTAGTCATCCTTAAAAATAACATCTCATCTTGCAGGAGGTTTGCCACTGATTGTTAGGCAGTGTTGAGTATTAGTGATGACGGCTGTAAAAAAGCCTGTTAAGAAAACAAACATGTTAGTTTTCAGAGCAATAGAATTATACTGTGCCATAATTAGACACAGATCACATAACAGTGATGATAAAGTTTTCAAAATCTACTTGTTAATCCTGTGCTCTGAACAAGCCAAATGTATGGTGTAAAAAAACACAGAATGCAGTTGTCTTTTTAAATACATGTATGTGTAAAATCCCTTGGTACTTTTGAATGCTAGAATTCTTGAATTTATGACTCAAATCTTTAGAAGTTTTTGTATGTATTTTATATGTTGACCTATTGATATTAATTTCAATGCTTATGTAAATCCTAGGCTGAAATAGTTTGCATGCTTTTATGCATATAGCCTGTTGGTTGCGTGTTTAAAAAAATAATAAAAATTCATGTGCTTAATTCTAATTTGTGCAAGGGAAAGTTTATTCCAGAAAGAGTGAGGGGAGTCCGAGGTAAAGTGTTCCTACTGTTGCCCGTGTTCTGGGTGTTGTCAAATTCAACTGTGCAGTAAAATAGCCAGTCTTGTTGTACTTTTTCTCCTTGATGCACTGGTACTCTTCCTACTCTGTCTCCTTGCAGCACATATCATATTTCGGTGAGTGTAAGGAACAAGGGATGGTGAGGAGACAGACTGTTGGAGAGTGTTTCTGCAGTAGCAGTGCCTGTACTCAGCTGCTCGCTTGTTGTTTCACATGGGAGTACAGTGTTGGCACATACTTAACTTGCATATGAGAACTTACGGGTTGTCTGAAAATGTGATTTATCTCATTTGAAACCCTTTTTTTAGGAAGTGTCAGTTCAGCAAAACTAAAAAAAAATACAGTTCTTTTGTGGAGCACTGTATAGCTACAGCCATGGTGCTTCAAGAACTACACTGCTGATGGAAGTGATGTAACTATGTTCTTGCAGGACTGTGCTGACAAAGTTAAGCCTTGCCCCATCCTCCCAAACTTGTTATTTACAAGAGAGCCAGTGTTCTAAACTAGAGCTGAGATTCACAATTTAATGTTTTAGAATAATGCAGGTCAGTAATTGAGCCTTCTATTTTCATGCCTTGTCATAAACAAATTGCAGTACCATGTACAGTGTAGAGGATATATGGAGTAATGTACTCAAGAAAACCAGTTTAAGTGGTAATGGTTTTTTATATTTAGTTTTCACAGTGCTCGTCCAAGTAAAAGATTTTGGATCTATAAGAAGCATTCAGAAGAGCTACGGTAATTCAGCTTTTTTCAGTTACAGATGATTGTTTTTAACTTTCTGATAGTGAACTGATTAGTTAAATGAGATTAGAGCCTCTTGAATTTCTAGGCTTCCACAATATAGAGGAGCAGGGAAATAAAAACATTACCTCTTCTATTAACAGTGTTCTCTTCAGTGACATATATTTGTTACTTGGCCATACTCAGTAACTTCTTCTTTAACCCTGAGCAGTTTTAAAAAATATTTCTGCTTCTTTATTTTCCAGTTATTCATAATGTGCAAAATGAGGGGCAAGGAGGGAAACAGAAAAAAACCAGACAAACAAAACTGAAAAACTCATGCTTTACAGATAAATTTCTGTCTGAAGTGGTGGGTTTTGTATTACATCCGGCATGGAGATACCCTGGTCATTGACTGGGATTTCTGGGTGCTGTTTGCGGTATAAAAAGTAAGAATATGTTTTCGTGAGTCATCTCATCTAAAGTTGCAGGAAATTATTTTTTTTAATAGTCTGTCTGGTTGCTGTAAGTTAAGAAAACTGTTTTGACAACCATGTTGTATTTATACTTCCTTTTTACTTTCTCTTCACCAGAGGTGTGACTGTAGTATGTCTTAACTGTGATTTCCTGACTGATGTTTCTGGCTTAGATAGCATGGCCACACACCTGAGTGAAAGCCATGCTCATACTTGCCAAGTTATTATAGAGAAAGGTGAGTATATACAGTGTCTTTTCTATATAGTATACTTATCTGAATACTTATGTGTAGATGTCTCTCTGTTATTGCAGTCTTTTTTTCAGTTGCATTATCATTATTTCTGTGTACTTAGATTTGAAAGTGAGTACTTCTGTATTTCCACGTTTTCAAATATTTTTAATTAAATCCTTTATTTTTATTTTCAGTTTCTGTAGATATCCCAACTGCCAAACCAGCATCTGAGTAAGTTTTGTTTTACTGCTCAATGTTTATTTCTATTGATTTAGTGACAGATGACCAAAATTTGCACTTAGAAATTGAATTTCTTTTTAATTTCATAGAATTTGAAATGTATGGATGAACATTAACCCTTACTTTACTAGTGTTTTTTGCTCTTACCATATCCACAATTACAAGATTAGGGAGATAAAATGATTACCTGTTGCAGCCAAAATCAAAACTAAGTTTCTGTTCACTGTGGCCAAAGAGACATAAATAATTTTTGCAATATTAGAAATTCTTGATCCTGACTTCTAAGTCTAGGCTTAGTGAGACTGTCGCTTCAACTTGCGTTTAATACTAGCTTTATTAAATGAGTGGTTTATGTTCTTTATGTAATATTAATATGAATTTTTTAAAAAGACATCTTTATTGAAGTAGGAGAAATTCAGTCTTAATACTTTATAAATATTTATAAATTATTTTAAAAATATTATTTATGTGGCAAAGTGTCATGGTTTGACCCCAGCCAGCAGCTAAGCACCACACAGCAGCT